TCCCTAATTAATAACTGTTTGATTTGGTCCAACTATGTCCGAGTCGTAACCTTGTTTCATTTTGCCGCTGTGTGTACACCAGACGCACTCTGCACTTCGAACTGTTATGGGGGGCACGGGTGGCCCAGATGTCTAAGACGCCGCGATTCGCTGTGCAGAGTTGCGTCCCTTGGACACGCCAGAAACATATGATTGTGGGTTCGAATCCCGGTTCGCCCCGATTATGTTTCTAGGTTTGTCAGCACCATACCCGTGCTCGTGGGTTTCACCGAAGTGGTAAACGTCTGAGGCCTGCATCACTTCGGGCTTTCCTCCCACATTAAGCTGACACGCCGTGATGTAACTGGAATAATGTTAAAAGCGGCGTTAAACCCAACTCACTCACTCACTCGAACTGTTATGACAGGACAGGCCGACTCTATGCACTATGTATTTAGTTCGCCAAGGCTTGCTAAATACAATGTTTATTCATAATACAGGATATTTAGCACCCCAAAACGCACTCGCGTGATAACCTCTCTATTTTATTCTTTGTTTTTTTTAAGCTATATATGTCAATGATATGATGTTAGTGACTATATTTTAATGAATTTATGTTTAACTTGTGATTGTTTGTGTGCTGTTTGCGCCTCACGGCAGCTATTCTACTCAATAGAAGTTAAAGAAACCCGATTCTGATATTATTTTGCTCACTTATCATGACAGAAACTGTAACAATATGAAGGAATCGGGTCTTCCTTATCTTCTTTTGAGTAGTATATAATATATACGACATGTTCTTTCACGTGCAAGGGTGGATCCAGCATATTTAAAAGGGAGGGATCCAAAATATCAACATCCTCTCTCTGGCCTCATTTGAAACTTACCGACATAATTATGTTTTGTTTGTTTGTTGTTTAACGCCGCACTCAGCAATATTCCAGTTATATAACGGCGGTCTGTAAATAATCGAGTCTGGACCAGATAATCCAGTGATTGACATCATGAACATCGATCTACGCAATTGGGATACGATGACATGCATCAACCAAGTCAGTGAGCCCGACCACCCGATCCCGTTAGTCGCCTCGTAAAAGTAGAGTCGTTTCATAATTATGTGAAAACTGCTGACGATGTTCAGCGAAATTTAATTTATACCTCTCATATGTACATGGTGCACGATGTTACGACTGGATCTATTTCTTCGCGCGGAGGCATACAAGCGAAGTGAGCTTCAATTGTATGCGTACATTTTCATTGTTGCCCCAAAATTATTATTAATATCAATACACGGTTTCTTCTAGATTCGACTTAAAAAAATCGTAGGAAGAGTCGATTCTGCAAGGACTGTCTTGTTTTTATCCACAGAAGCTAACTAATCTGATTTGTCACTTCTCATCGTCAATACTTCACGGAGTTTAAATTACTACACAGCGTCGCTCCAACATATGTGAAGTATTCACGATGGTCACTCATTGAATATCGTGGACGCATTGTGACATTGTACGTGCGCTTCATCTTGACATTTTTTGTGATGGAACGAGAAACACGACAATATGAGACAGATACAAGGGACAAAAGTATCAAGTAATTCATTCTATCGGCCTAGCATACGATTACTATTTGAATAGTAATATCCTGCATATACGGATACTTCTATTAAATCAGTATTTTGTCTCTTTTCATTGCATTAACTTTAGCTAAATGTAGTCCAAGTGTTATTCACTCTCAAACAAAAACGTTGGGGATCAAGAAATATAGTGAGTGAGTGAGTGAGTTGGGTTTAACGTCGCTTTTAACAGTATTCCAGTGCATCGCGACCCGTCATCTTGATGCGGGAGATAAACCCAGAGTGATGCTTTTCTCAGACGTTTACCAGTTTGGTGACACACGAGCACGGATATGGAGCTAAACTGACAAACCTGGAAACAATTTCAGGGCGAATCGCAGGTGTCCGACACACTTCATCGCTAAACGACATGAACTTAGTCGACTGGAATGAGTGAGTGTGAGTGAGTTGGGTTTAACGCCGCTTTTAACAGTATTCCAGTTATATCGCGGCGTGTCAGTTTAATGTCGGAGGAAAGCCCGAAGTGATGCAGGTCTCAGACGTTTACCACTTCGGTGAAACCCACGAGCACGGGTGCTGACAAACCTTACAACATAATCGGGGCGAACCGGGATTCGAACCCACAATCATAGGTTTCTGACGTGTCAAAGGGACGCAACTCTGCACATCGAATTGCGGCGCTTTAGACGACTGGGCCATCCTCTCAAGAAATATAAATGTTAATACCAAGTATTCGAAAAGACTAAGGAACGGGTACCAACAACCCCAAAATGTTGAAGCTCGACCCCGTTCAGGGCGTCCCAGGTCAACGACAAGAGTACAGGACGGATTATTCCGAAACCAGGTTCTACGAAATCGAGCTTAAACGGCGAATCAAATTGCTGCAAATTGAATTTTTTCTTAAATAATAATCAAGCCCCTTTTTCTACTAAAAGAATTACATATGCCTCGCATTATAGGAAAACAATAATGTATCCTTTTTTTAGGCAGTGTGTATTACATATTGAGAAGTCAAATATTAATGCACAACTTCTTTTATCATCCGCCCGGATAGCGGAAGGTCCGTGGTTCGATCCCCGGCCGCGTCATATCAAAAGACGTTTAAAGATGGTACTTGTTGTTACCCTGTCTGGCTCTCGGCATTAAGGGGCTAAAACAAGGACTGGTCGGCTCGGAGTCAGTATACTGTGTCTGAGTGGGGTATTCCTGTTAAACTCCGGCATGGTATCTCAGTGAGCTAGCACTGTAAATCGGCATCAATCCGGACTAGTACAAGCAGACACACACACACACACACACACACACACACACACACACACACACACACACACGTGTCGCTAAGCCCGATTTTACCTCACCTCACCTCACCTCTTTTATTATACTGTGGCCTGACCAAGGCTGTGAAAGCTGGGATGGCATGGGGACAAGCATCGCCTCACAGTGATGTATTTGTATTCACAGTACTCTACCTTAGGGAAAAAAAACATAACATAATTTGCAAAGATACCACCTGCTGTTGTTTCACCTCTATGTTACTTCTTGTTTCCTGGAAGGTAGGTGTAGGTGGTCGGGCAGCCTAGTCGTTAAAGCGTTCGTCACGCCGAAGACCCGCGTTCGATTCCCGACATGGGTACATTGTGTCAAGCCCATTTATGGTGTCCCCCGCCGTGATATTGCTGGAATATTGCTAAAAGCGGCGTAAAACCACACTCACTCACTCACTATTGTTTTCTGGCAGTCTCTTCTCCTCCATTGTTTGGAAAGAAACTCCGTAAACAAAATAATCCCTAAAAAAACATGTTTGTTGCTTGTTGTAATCTGTGTTATATACGCGGGCACTGTAAATCAGTAAATAGTGCCAAACATGCGAGAAAAGCTGAGAAGGTTAAATTTGCAGTACATGGACAGCTGTGTCTGGGGCGATCATCCCATAATTGAAATGGAATAGCAGATTAAGAGTTGCTTTAACTGAAGTGCTATTATCTAGGCGGTGCGCATGTATAGAGAACAGTTACATCAGCAGTGTCACAAACAGTCTAATAGTATAAGGTGCTTATCTTTCAGCTGTTGGCGTGACGTCAGTGATCAGATAGATCCCTATTGGCGCTTGGATCAGATTGCATAGCAACGCTGTCATCACGCCCAATCGATATCGTAATCCATTCATAACAACCGTGAAAAAAATACACTGAGCAGCAAAATAAGCTATACCCCTAACTTCTTTTCATCATGTGTTTGATTTCCAATTGAAAACATCTAAAGTAATATTATATCCCAAAAATGAACTGTACTGGCCCTTAGTCAGCACTCAAAGAATACCTCTACATTATTTATTTTTAATTTGATTTAAAACCTTTTGAAAAAAAAGAATCACAAAATACACAACTGCTGATTGGTATTAAAGCCATCTTGTCTTTGAACATCAATAAATTTGCTTATTTCGGCACAAATTGAAAACATTTCCAACCTGGTAGAGGTCATGTTGCTGCGGTTCATGTCACACCCCAGTCATCATCATCATCATCATCATCTTTTCATCATCATCATCATCTGTTCATAATCTGATTCATCATCATCATCATCATCCTTGGGCCCACTCCAAAAAGCGATACTAATTCAACCACAAATCGTCGTTGTTGGTGTCAGGATCGTCTTGGTGCTAATTTTGCTTGGAACAACTGAACCAAGGCTTGCAGCCTGTTCATGCCAGACGTGTTGGGCCTTGTCTGCCCTACACAGTGTGACCTATATATATATTACAATGTAAGTGACAAGATCGGTCGACCTGTGAAGATCCGGGGTAGAATAGGTCTTCAGCTACCCATTCTTGCCGTAAAAGGCGACTATGCTTGTCGTATGAGGCAACTAACGGGATCGGGTGGTCAGGCTCGCTGACTTGGTTGATGCATGTCATCGTATTCCATTTGAGTGGATCAATGCTCGTGATGTCAATCACTGGATTGTCTGGTCCAGACTCGATTAAATACAGACTGCCGTCAAAAAGCTGGAATGCGGCGTTAAACAACAAACAAATAAACAAACGACAAGATCAGTCACATTGTGTAGGGTAGGGCCACAGGGTGAAGGACACGATAGGTTGGTTGGTTTGTTGTTTAACGCCGCACTCAGCAATATTCTAGCTATATGACAACGGTCTGTAAATAATCGAGTCTGGACCAGACAATCCAGTGATCAATATCATGAGCATCGATCCACGGAATTGGGATAGATGACATGTATCAATCAAGTCAGCGAGCCTGACCACCCGATCCCGTTAGTCGCCTTTTACGACAAGCATAGTCACCTTTTACGGCAAGCATGGGTTGCTGAAGACCTATTCTACCCCGGAATCTTCAGGACACGATAGGTCCGCATCTGAAATGCTACTGACGGATATAGATATGAAAGGTAGGCCGGTTCTAGTGTTGTGGAATTATACAAGAGTGACACG